TGTATTTTGCATGTGTGTGTATCTTGCTCAAAAAACTGTTCATTTTGTACAAGCGAAAAAAAAAAAAAAAACCCCAAAAAACCAAAAAACCCAAACTCACTGCCCTCCAGTTGATCTGACTCACAGTGACCCCTCCTTGGGTTTCTGAGGTCGTATCTCTACGGAAGTAGGTTGCCCAATCTTCCTTCCCAGGAGTGGCTGGTGGGTTTGAACCACCAGCCTTCTGGTTAGCACTCAAATGCCTTAGGCACTACGCCACCAGAGCTCATCATACATACATCTTCCTTCCTTCCTTCTAGTTGTTTCAAATAGTTGTTCATCAAGTTTACTTCTTTAGGCAATTTGAGTTTCTTTTGGGTAAAATGTAGAATAATGACCTAAGATGCTGGTTGCTCTTTGTACTTGTTAATCTAACTGTCCCAACACCAACTACTTGTTGGTTTCCCTTTCCTTATTAATTAGTTATGGCTCCCCTCTCATTTGCATAGACACGTTTCATATATATATATATAAATCCCTTTCGTTCTTCCCCTCTTTTTGTATTCCTTCATGCAATCTATTATTAGAGCTTCATAATAAGCCTTCATAAATGACAGCCTAGGACCTTCTTATCTTCCAAAGTGTCTTGGCTATTCTAGGGCTTTTCATTTGTGGTAGAGGCCGCTAGCTCTTCACCAAAATGTATTTCTTTTTCTGCTTGAGCTCAGAACCACGCTCCCTTCACAGTTCCACACGTGGGTCTCTAGCCAATGCGATATGCGCAGAAATATTATGTGCCCCTGAGCCAAAGTTCTTAAGACGCAGATGGGCCTCTGCACACCCTCTTTTGCCTTCTGCTAGCTAGATGCTTGAGGATGGCAGCGGTGCCAACAGATGGATTAAGCCCAGTTCCCTAAATCACCGCGGAAGGAAAATAATCCCCTGCTCAGAAGCAGACCAGTTAGTTCAATGAGGAGTACACTATAGACAGTCCCCATAGGAGCCAGAGGAACGTCAGACTTACGTAAGCCCATAGTTAGCGAACCAATCCCCTAAAGCCTAAGAAGAATTGATGCATTTGGATCATGATGTTGGCGAAGTTGATTGACTGTGCCATGGACTGCCAGGGAGCTCTGGTGGCATGGTGCCTAACCAGAAGGCTGGTGATTCAAACCTATTAGCCACTCCTCAGAAGGAAGATTGGGCAGTCAACTTGCATAGAGATAC